CTGATCTACATTTATATAGTACTATTTACAGTAAAAATTTCAAGACTCTAGCATTTTAATTTAAAAAGTTAAGGGGGGTGGGATACTTATGATTCTGACTGTAAAATTTCAATTTTTTTGACTCCTCCCTAAAAAATCACCTGATAATTGTCAGCTCCCTAACTGTAACCGTAACCTGCCATATATCATAATATTCGTTGAGACAATTCTACCACATCACTAATAGATAAGAAAACTAGTTTAAACCAGTTTATTTAAGAAGTATATTAAAATTAATGTATTAACATAATTGCCAATCACAAATTTAATTATTAAAAAAGTTTGTTTGAAGCTTTGAAAATTCTTATTTTTTATCAACTTTTTTTTAATAAAATTTCTCAAAATATTTAAAAAATGCAATTCTTTATTTATTCAATTATTATAATTTTTATTGCTTTTAGATTTTCTTTATTATTTTATATTGAAGAATTTGATATACCAAATTTATTTTTTAAAATCATTTATACAAAAGAACTATTTTTTATTTTCATACTAGTATATTTAGCATTTATTATATTTAATATTTGGTTGTGGTGTTATTTAATAAGATGATATTCTCAAGACTATATTTATTAATTTTTTTTAAATTAGTTAATAAAAATTTAATATTTTCTTTGCTTAAAAATATCAAGAAACTTTTCTTTAAAATACTTAAAGACAATAAATTTAAAAAATATATTTTCAAAATGGCATTTTCTAATACACCTGGATTTAAGTATCAAATTTTTCAAACAAAAATTTTATATCAAAATTGCTGATATTCTCAAAGAAGAGCCAACTCTAAAGAATGTAATCACTTTAGTAATTCAAAATTCTAAAAGTGAAACCGAAATCTTAACTAACTTTAAAGTTAAAGCGATTAGAAATAATGAAATAAAGTATTTGATTTTGAAAATGAGTTAGATAATAATAATGGGTGGTTCACTACAGATGAAAATTCACAATAGTTTAATGTAAAGCTAATGTTTTTTATTGGCAGAAACTTTAAATATTATCACTTAATATAAAATATTTTTTTATATTATATTTATTTGTATTTATTATTTTTTATATTTAATAAAACAATTATTATTCATATTTTCTTTATATTAATTTCTTGTTTATATTTTTTCAAAAAACTGAGTACTTTGAATTTTTTCATAATATAAGTATTTTGAAAGTACTCAAATCTTTTCACGACAATATGAAATGAAAAAAATGATTTTTTCAAACAAGTTCGAATCTTTTCACAACAATATAAAATAAAAAAAATAATTTTTTCAAACAAGTTCAAATCTTTTTACAACAATATAAAATAAAAAAAATGATTTTTTTTAGATAAAGTCCGAGTCTTTTCATGACATGAGTATTTTGAAAGTACTTGAATCTTTTCACAATGATGTAATTGAAATTCGTTCTATAGAATTTTAACTCTTTTATTTAAAAAGTGAACCATTTGAAATTCATTCAATTAAATAAGATTAATCTAAATAGGTTTTATAAGAAAAACTAAGTAGGTTTTGCAAAAAACTGAGTACTTTGAAATTTGTCTAATCAAAAAAATTGAAATCTATATAAAATTTATATAAAACTAAAATTTTAATTTATTAAATTGCATAAGGCTTTAGCTTTATGCTAAATAATTTAACAAAACTCAGACTTGCCTGAGTTTTGTTAAATTATTTGATTCCACTTGCAGGCAAAAAGAAAACAGACCACCTCAGCTGCACCACAGCTAAAGTGGGCTGTTTTTATCATTGCCTGCAAGTGGAATCACTAAACATAATAAAAAAATATATAATAAAAATAAATAAATTTTTTAATCCAAAAATCTAAAATTAAGTATCTTTTTTAAAATTTTCTACAAATATAAAATTATATTATACTATTCCAAAAAATTTTTAACATGGTATCTTTGGATTTTTGGCAAATACCTTATATACAAAATAAAAAATTAAAATCTCCAAAATCAGATTAGCCTTTTTTCTATTTTTTTTTTTTACAAAATTATATAAAAATAGGATGTTGCAAAGTTATACTTCAATCACTAGCACAAGAATTTTCGACACAATTTGAATTTTAATGTGACAAAAGAATGAAACATAATCAAAAATTTGTAAAATAATCGAAATTTATCAAAATATTTGCAAAAAATAATCGAAATAATAGTTGTTAATATTATAAAAATCTGCATTTTTATTGGTCGGATTGGATTTAACTTCTTTTACAGATAACCCCCGCCTACTTGACGACCACTTTCAAACTCGAAGAATTTTTTTTACTTTAATCCTAAACATTCATGTAATCAAAATAAAAAAAAATTATTCGAGTTTGTGTAGGAGTATCTTTGCTCAAAGTTTCGAAAAATTCCACTGCAGTTTATATCTGACAAGCGTTTGAGCGAAGACTTGATTCTACGAATTTATAGAATCAGAATAAAAAAAATCATCGAGTTTGGATAAGTGGTTGTCGAGATATCTTCGCTCAAATTTTAAAAAATTTCACCGCAGTTATTTCTTTGATTTTGAGCAATCACTTATAAGATATTTGTTAATCGGAAAAAATTCAAGTTTAGATAAGTGGTTGTCGATATCTCAAATTTTAAAAATTTCATCGCAGTTTATATCTTTAAATAGGCGTTTTGAATTTTGTATGACTTTGAGTGAAAATATTATCCAAACTTAATAAAATCTTTTTATTTGATTCTACGTGTTCTTAGAATCAGAAAAAAAAAAAAAAATCATTGAATTTGGATAAGTGGTTGTCGAGATATCTTCGCTTAAAGCTTTAAAAAACTTCACAATTTAAATAGAAGTTTCGAATTTTGTATGACTTTTGGAAGATATCTCAATGATCACTTATCCAAACTTGATGATTTTCTTATAGAACCAGAATAAAAAAATACAGAGTTTTGATAAGTTACTTCTCTCGCAGTTTGTATCTTTTTTAAATGAATTAGAGTAAAGATATCTCAACGGCCATTCATCCAAATCGATGAATTTTTTTTTATTCGATTCTATGAATTCGCAGAATCAGAAAACATTTGATATTTTCAAAAAAAATTAAATCCGGAAGGTTCGTTTGTCACGTGATTGAGGGATTTAAATTTGGGATATAGCATAGTCGGTTAAGCCGATTTTAAATTCGGCTTAATCAAGCCGACAAATTTAGGTCGGCTACAAACACTATTGTAGATATATAAAAATTAAAAAAATATCATTATATTCTTTAAAAACAAAATACTAATATTTTTTTTACAAAGGCTATTATTAATAACAAATTTTTTAATTTTTATAAAATTTAGAAGTGCTGTAAAATATCAATTCTTATTTATTTTAATATATATATATAATATAATTTACTTTGAAAATTTGTATTTTTTAATGCAAGTAACCAAATTTATATAGTTTAGCTTAGCTACATTTAATATCATTATTATAATCTATCAATTACTACTTGTAATTCTTCTTCACTATAAATTCTAAACCCATATTCTGGAGTGATAGATGCAAGCTGAACATTTGTATTGTTCAATTTTTCTTCCATAACCTGTTTAAGAACTTTAAGAGATAGTGTTTCAGCATTTACCAAACTTATAGACTATATTAAAATGCAAATAATTTTCTATTAGTCAATGTATATTAAAAAATAACATTTAGTGATATCAAGAGTATAGCTAACTTTATCATATTCTTCTTGCAATTCTGTCTGAGCACCTTCAGATCCGGAGCCAATTGCTTTAGCATCATATTGCATAAAAGTACCAGAAGGATCGGCGTGGTATCTTTAATTTATAGCCGGAAAAATGTTATCCAAATAATCGGTATGTATAACGATTTGATTGATATATTATACTTACAGTTGAGGACCCTTCTCATCGACGCCGGCAATCAATAATGCGACGCCAAAAGGTCGGCTCTTTAAGAATTCAAAATAATTAAGTATTGTGAATAAATAACTCAAATTGTTTATGTAAAATGCAATTAATTTACCATTATAGATTCTTCTCCATGTGCACTCTCACCAAACCTCAGTGCCAAATCGCATACGGCTTGTGTGACCGACTCTACTTTAATCTTTTCGTTATAAGTAAAATGATGATTCTTTTGCAAAATGTAATTAAAATATAAATACAATAATAATGGCAATTAAAAAATAGGTACTCTACGAAAAAGGAATGTTAAACATATATATTATATATTGAAAAATTTACTTGTGCCTCAACTCTGGCGTGGTCTATCATTGTTCTGGAATCGGCTGTCAAACCGCTCATTGCACAACCCAAATGAGTATCAATTTCCATAATCTTTTCGATACTGCTTGATACCAAAAGTGGAGATGTGACGCGTTTTTCCACTGCCAAGACAACGCCTTCAGAGGTTTGAATCCCTACCGCAGTGGAGCCCAACTGTTTTTCATACAAGAATTAACAAAAGGATAACAAAAAGCTATAGAACAGCGAATATATACCTTAATAGCCTCGATCGCATATTCAACCTGAAATAGACGGCCTTCAGGAGAAAAAGTGTTAACTCCACGGTCGTATTCAGATCTTGTGAGAAACATAATTATAATGGCAAAAAATTGAATTGCGCACTGAAGTTGAAGCAAATTAATCAGATCTACCAATCAGAATTCTATCATGTATGTTACACCAGATAATTATCAAAATTTTATCATATATATAAAAAAATATACGTCACTCTATAACGAACCTTTTTATAACGAACCCACTCTATAACGAACTTCTTTTAAAAAAAATTAGAGTTCGGTATAGAAACATAAAGTTATTTTATAAGAAACTTTTAAAATTCTTTTTTACTACGAGAGCTGTCAGGTTCGTTATAGAGAGAGTCGAATAACTATGATAAAAGTAGTACCTTTAGGTGCTGGACAGGATGTAGGTCGTAGTTGTATTCTTGTATCTATAGGCGACGACAGTACAGGTATAAAAAACATAATGTTTGATTGTGGCATGCATATGGGATATAACGATGACAGAAGGTTTCCGGATTTTTCATATATTTCCAAGACTAAGCGATTCACCGAGCAGTTGGATTGTGTAATAATAAGTCACTTTCATTTAGATCATTGTGGTAATTTAACATGTAGAATTTTTTTTTTTTCATTACAATCAATCAATTAAAATTTAATAATTCGATCTTTTAGGAGCACTTCCGTTTTTCACTGAAATGTGCGGGTATGGAGGACCTATATATATGACACATCCAACTAAAGCCATTTGCCCGATTCTGCTTGAAGATTATCGAAAGATCACAGTAGAAAGAAAAGGTGATACTAATTTTTTCACATCGCAAATGATTAAAAATTGTATGAAGAAAGTCACTGCTGTCAACCTTCACCAGACTATCAAAGTTAATAATGACGATGACCTGGAGATTAAAGCGTATTATGCTGGCCATGTTTTAGGCGCAGCAATGTTTTACGTACGAGTTGGCACACAATCAGTCGTTTATACCGGAGATTACAACATGACACCAGATCGACATCTCGGTGCAGCATGGATAGACAAGGTTCAACCAAACCTTTTGATTACAGAATCTACATATGCTACGACCATTCGTGATTCTAAGAGATCACGTGAAAGAGATTTCTTAAAAAAAGTTCATGACTGCGTCTCACAAGGTGGCAAAGTTCTTATACCAGTCTTCGCTTTAGGTCGAGCTCAAGAACTTTGTATTTTAATAGAAACATATTGGGAGAGAAATAATCTTAACGTTCCTGTTTATTTCTCAGCCGGTATGACAGAAAAAGCAAATGATTATTATAAACTTTTTATTAATTGGACCAACGAAAAAATTAAAAACACATTTGTCAACCGTAACATGTTTGACTTTAAACATATAAAGCCTTGGGACAGACAATATGTAGACCTGCCTGGAGCGGCAGTTTTATTTGCAACACCAGGGATGTTACATATTGGAACATCTTTAGAAGTTTTTAAAAAATGGGCACCATTTCCAGAAAATATGGTTATAATGCCTGGATTTTGTGTTGCAGGTACTGTTGGAGCCAAAGTTTTAAATGGGGATAAGGAAATACAAGTTGATGCATATAATAAAGTTCAAGTTAACTTGCAAGTCAAAAATTTGTCATTTAGCGCACATGCAGATGCTAAAGGGATTATGCAATTAATAAAGCAGTGCGCACCAAAAAATGTGATGCTGGTTCACGGAGAAAAAGCAAAAATGGAATTTTTACAGGATAAGATTCGGCGTGAATGTCGAGTACCATGTACTTGTCCAGCGAATGGAGAGACAGTTACGATCGAAACTCCGCTTTCTATACCAGTTGATATATCAGTTGATTTACTTAAACGACACTTAAATGCACAAAAACTTTCATTACCACTTCCTGGAGAAAGAATTGATTTAACAAAGATTACGCCTGTGGATGAAATACCTATTCAAGGAGTATTAGTAATGGAACCTGATCGAATTCCACGCTTAATAGAGGTTGAAGAAGCCATTCGTGAAGCACGATTACCTATTCTTGACATAGATTTTAAGACGTTCAAAACATTTGATCCGAAACAATTTCAAGACAAGAATGTGATGTCGAATATAGAAGAAAAAGATATACGAATTCAGGTATTAGAATATGTATATGAAGTTGTGAATAAGGAAATCAGTAAGAATATACCAGGTATTGAATTGCACAAGGGAGCATTGGAAATTAAGTTGAGAAGCGTCACAGTGAGTGTACCAGAAATGATTAAAAATGAATTTAAAAATGCATTGCGTATTACTTGGAATTCTAAAGACCAGAATTTGGCAGATTTTTTAATCTCTATTATGGATGATATTCTTCCTGATATACTAGATTTATGACTTTCTACAAGTTAAATATACAATAATAATACGTAATTTTTTTTTTATATTGTCAAATTATGCTTGTAATTATTTTTGCAATTACGGAATTACATATATGTTCATAATTATGTTTGTAATTATTTTTATAATTATGCTCATATAATAATTATATTCGTAATTGTACGTATTACGAAATAAAATATAAATATAGAAAATTGTAACAATATAATGATAATTAACCTTGATATACGATTATAGGAGGCAAGAATTTCTATTCATAACGATAATCGGAATTTTATTTAATTATATATATCAATTTTTATTTAATATATAAAAACAATTTACTCAATTTAAAATGTGTAACACCATTTATATTCGACTATTTTGCTTAAAAAAGCGGTTAAAAAATATGTAACGCAAATTTTCTCATGAGTCAATCACGCGACACAATTGGTAGACATTTTAGCATAAAAAAATTGTGATGTGATGTATCACTTAACATATGTACAATGATATAGAGTGCGCACTAAGTACTACGTTTATATGGTATGCAAATTTGTCACCAGAACAAATTTCCACAGAAGGATAATCTTTACAAGTACAAAGACTCCTATCGTCGGTCAACATACAGCAATGTCATTTTCCTCCACACAACTCACTGACCATTTGTGCGTTTGTTTTTGCAAATACATCTATAATTGGATTTTTGGCAAATAATCTTTTGATCCTGGGAAGAATCGTTATTTATTTGTTTATTTATTTGTTAGTTATATTGTTATTAAAGCGAGAATGACTCATGATTCACGTTATTGGACCTTTCAGTTTGATAATCAAAAATTATAAATTCTAGCAATCCTTTCTTGATACGGTCCTTTTTTCGACCGAAACGAATTTTCATGGGAATCTTTCTCGCGTCGTAATTCAAAATTGTATCATTTTCACACAAAGATAAGAGATTATATTTAGATTTTCGCGGTCGTTATCTAATGATGGTTCTTATAAACGTAAAACTCTCTTTTCTTTTTTAGAATTTCATCTTTTTCCTTCCTTTACCGTTACTATGTATCGGTATTGGGGTATTGGGCTGTGCATAAATAACTATTAGTCTAATATCTTGGTTGTACAAGCAATCCTATGAATACATACTATGCATACAATTTTATAGTGACAATAAATCCATTGTAATCAATATAAATAAGTGAAACTTACTACGTATCATCATCTTTGTGTTATATCTTTACTTAATTTTTATAAAGAATCTCAAATTAGGTGAGTCAAATTCCATACAGATACCGTACTGTATATATATATATATATTTATACAGTATTATAATTATATGGCGCGTGGGTGGACCGGTATAACGCAATGTGTATAAATTTAAGAATGCCGTTGTAAATAAATTATAGATTACTCTTTTTATGTACCTGTTGTGTATGTTGTGTAGTGCGCCCTTTTGCCTTACTTTTTTTGTTTTTCCCATTTTTCTTGGGTTTTTGTTGATTGGTTACAAGTTGTAGATAGGTTTTAATAAATAGGAGACTCCAACCTTCTCTTGGTTCAGTTTGGTTTCTCTCCAATCAAATTTACGCTTTTGATTCTTGAGGGACCAAAGCAAAAAAAAAGCTCACACAGCGAGATTTCGCCCTCTTTATTGTTGTGTGTCGCTCTTCACCTTGTCCTAACCCCGCCGACCCTCACAAAACACACCGCATTATAAAAAAAAAACAAAAAAAAAACAAAAAAAAGAAAAGCTTTCTTCCTTTTTTTCTTTACAAAGACTCCTCGCCAAACTCGAATTTTTCTCACTTTTTGGTATTCGTCCGACCTATTAGATTCAACCTTTTCGTCGGTACTTTTCTTTTTCATTTAATTATTTTGAGTTTTCCTGCTCGATTTCTTCGGTTTCTTTGACTCTTCTACCACCTACTGTAATACTGTCACGTCGAATTTTTTAGAGCTGGCTAAAAGCTTTCACAGTAGGATGATAGAAATCAAAGATTATCAAAGTTGATATAATTGATATAATCGATATAAAGATATCATTTGATATATGTGACTTGAATTTTATACTTTTATATGTTATCTTTTAATAGTGACGCGTCACCCTCTGAGTCATACACGCATAATAAAGTATATATATCAACGTACTAATCTTTTACTTCTCAAAATACTGTGCATACCCTTCAGCACTAAACAGAAAGCCCAATCAAATAGCGACATCTCAAGTGAACTCATTCCAATCAGAATAAAGCGTCCCCTCACTCCTTTGGTCGACACTTTCTGTGAACAATCAAACTAAGTTTGCGGGACTCTAGTGTGCAACGGCTAAAAAAACAACACAACAGGACACCGTTTTTTGCTTTCTTCCTCGCATAGCGCCAGCCTTCAAACTTTTCTGGTTCGGCGCTAGTTTATAATAATTTTTTTTGATTAAGAACCCCTTGTTTGTGTTCCAACTTCTACTTTT